TACTTTTAATGTTTACTCTAACCAATGTGAGAAAGATGTTTTAAATGAAGCCACATCATTCATAACTAGGAGATATAAAGACCCAACATAATTTCGTGGTGGAGGATAGTGTTGAAAAATCTATGGTTCGAATTCTAGATATTAATGATTTGATTACAAAATCGACATGCTGATTGTATACGATTTCAGGTGAGTCTGTTCCGAATTCAGCTGTTAATTCTAATACTAATGAGTGTATTCTAGATAATACAGAGCTTTTATCCAGTACAATGTCGGACAGACTCAGGATGAACTTAAGAAGAAGACGTACAACCTATTACAGACTAATATATTCCACTTTCGGCTGTGGTAGATGTGATGCTTGAACGAACTAATGACTCTTTTGTATTTGTTAAATGCCTGATTTCGAATTCTAAATACAATACATTCGTTTGTGCTCATCTAGTACTTCTTGATTCAATTGCGTTATTTTGGGGATTATTAGTTCATACTCTAATTCAAATAATTCGAAATACCAAAGATTAACAAACCATTAACTTTTTCATTTTTTCAAATAAGCAGATAAAATCATTTAACACATTGGAATTCTTTGATAATCGGTCCGAGTAGAGACAGGTATCTGCCTCATACATTCAATGAATGGTTGCATAAGATCAAATATCAGTTGAAGTTAGATACAAATACATCTCTACCACAGCCATCAACTGCCATCTGATCTTTGGTCTACGGGGATCATATTTGTTAACTGGCACATAGTCTTCCTGTAGTGGTGATCATAGTCAACTGCGACTCGACGCCACACTACAATAGAACAATATATTTGATGTGCTCAAGGACAAGTTGGACCAAATGACCACGCCCGTATGGCTAAGCCATGCTAAACTGATCAAAATGTTTCCGCGTTCATCTTTTCCGATATTCTCTCCCTGTCGAACGTTCACTGGGAATTTTCTCAGTTTTCTTATATTCAGCCTTGGGGATCGTGTGTTTCGAATCAATACCACTGAAATTGTAATGTTTTATTACCACAAATAATTTACTGCACAAACTGTCCTCCGTCAAATGACTACTGGATATCTCGACCGTGTCAACACAAGACACTTCTGTGACAGTGAGCACCATCAGAGATCAAACACCGAACCTTCAAATATCTCAGCTACTTCCTACCTGGATTAATTTCACATATTACAATATTTCTATTAAATTAAAGACTTTTTGTTCGTAACTTTCTCACTTTGTTCTCAATCTGACAATATCTGTTTGTATGGTTTCACAGTCTTTTTCCTTCTTCAAGTACTCGTCTATCCGTAACCTTTAGTGTATTTTATAAATATCTAGAGATTTTCATTTCTTTTACGGCATACATAATAACCTTTGAAGAACACATTCGATCTGAAGGTAGAACAATATAACCGGTACAGTGGTCAGGAGGTTACGCAGACTGACCATGCTTGGATGGTCATGCCATACCCTCTTGATTAATTGTTCCCACATTCGCCTAACATTCTTCAAGCGTACGACGGCTGATAAGAGTCTTTTAAGTTATTGTACATTCCGGTGCATTGACAGTGTGAGTCAAAACTAATGTCACTACAAGGTTTCTAGTTATTCGAAAAGCTCTATCTAATGGGAAAAACTGACATCTTTCGGAAGCCACGAGGCTGGTGCCTCTTTTGATAGACAGAGCATCAATAAACATAGGACATGGAATATTCAAGCAATGTAGAGGTCCAGGAGGGACTGTAGTATCATCGGGCCCTAACTACACAATCCTCAAAGTTGAACACGCGACAATTGGGGAAATAGATATTCAACATTTAACTCGGAGAAATGCCCAACGATGAGGAAGGCGGGTACAAGGAATTGAATTAACTTGAGTTGATCGGATGGCATGGCTCGGCCTTGCAGGTGTGGTCGCCGCTAAATGATACCTAATATTTTTTATTCATAATAAATATATTGTTCCATCTCTAGCCTAAGCTTGTTCTCCATCATGTATTGGTAATTGTTACTATGCAGTGAGTTGATCTAAACGATGATGTGCCTACTGTATAAGATCTTATAGATTAGGCAGTTATATCATGAAAAATCTACAATATTAGGATTAGGTCTGTTATTAGAGCAGTACTAATATCATAGTAGACCTTAATTCCACAGGTCAAGAAATTGAAAGTTACCTTACCATTTTTGGATACAATGAGACTTAGCAAGGTCAAGTTGGACAAAAAGCTGACCCAAGGAGAGATGCTGTTGTATTTTGGTCATGAAAAAAAAACTTGAGATTGATGCTGTCCTCAGAAAAACTAGAATCCCTCACAGGACTATTATTATCCACAAACGGTTAATTAATACATAAGTGTTGTGAAACACACGAATTCCTGATCACGAAATCATCCTTCAAGACAAAGAAATGAGGGTTTACAATGAATAATGTTTCCAGTTTTACTTATCCCCCAATGATATAAGTGAACATGACAAAGATCAGTTTCAATTCAGGCTGCAGTCCGTCACAGAAAAAGACAGAACTAACCACCATAATGAGGAGCTGAACACCAAGATGGGTTAGACAACACTGGGTGTGGACTTATCATGAGACGGTGTGGATTGCGGCAATGGATTGAGAGTGATGAGATACTTATGGATCTATGTTCATTCAAGAACACAGTCAGCGTACTCCCTGCACGTGCATGCACTAAGCCATATGGATACCATTGTACCATACTACAGCAAATCAGATCAATGGCATAGGAATAAATAAAGAACTCGCGAAGTCGCATAAAAAATGTAAAACAACGAAAAGGACTTGTATAACTTTAGATCATCATACTGTAGTGAGTGGGTATGATAGTTATTGCCTTATATGCGATGACAAGGGAATGCGCTTGGTCACGTTTCCGCACCAGATCACGAGTGGGCATACCATGCTACACACCTCCTACAGACGTGAGCCAGCTTAGATTAACGGCGTTCCGATATACTGGTAGCCTTTCAAATGAATCTTGAAGACCCTCCACTCCTGACTTCCAGTGTGATGGCTGACATCTTTGGGATCAAAGTACTGTAGAGTTAAATGAACACAAAAGAACTGGAACAATATGAATAATGAATTTACTATAGAACTAGACCTTTATGTAACTGAAATGGATTTATATTGATACTGTCATTAAGAATCGCTAGCATGTGTAATACTGTAGATATAATATTGGCAATAGAACGAAATAATTTTAGGAACTGATTACACTAGTTCAGTCTGTACTGTATCTATGTGAGCGCAAACTGTCCGAAGCCTCAGTTGACCAAGGGGTCCCAAATATACGAAAACCAAAATAATAATTAGAAATGACTAATATGTAGACGGATAGACTGTAAAACTGAAAAGGTATATTATAAGGATCTACATGTAAGATATTTGAATTGATCACTCACTGAGTACAGGTTAACTAGCAATTTGTATGACGGTCACATCTCCAGCCAGATATTGGGTTCCACAGTCAGTATATAATTGTGAATATGCAAGTGTAGTGTGTGCTACGGATGTCGACAGATATAAGTATCACGTATCACCGGTCGAAAGTGAAACACCTGGAGGCAAAAGGTTCAGAAGATCAAAGAAAAGAGAACGAGAACACAGAATGATTGGTGTGGAAATGAAGGAACAATGAAGTCTGAGACGATTGATTGACATTTTACAAATGAAGTATGAAGTTCCCAAACTTTACTAGGATATTCTGTAATTTTCTATCCAAATACATTCGATTTTCCCCCATTGTGTTCTCGTTCGCTACACAACATGTCTGCATCAGACGTTGTACGGAGCTGGAGCTGTAGCTGAAGCTGTAGAAGTGTTAGGTAGTAAAACAACCACAACCGAAAATATCTAACACAGCCTTTCCTAAAGATAGAATCCAGCAGCGAGTCCCAAGCCTTACAAAATCTACCAGAAAAAATAAAGCAACACTCAGGATAATAACTGGAAATGGTTGAAAAGGCATCAACTTCAACAAATTAGGCGGGACTGGGGTCAAAGTGGTCTCGGTATGACAGCAGACAGTAGACATTTTGGGCAAGAATCGCAAGGGAAAAACAAGAAAACCGTAGTAAGATATGAAGAAACCAGATCCATCTTATTTTTGAGAACAGACTCAATTAAGAAGTACTTAGCATGACATATCGCAATGCTTAAATTTAAGTGTTGATGGACTTGTGCTACTATTGACTTCGTAAACCTCTGGTAGGTATAGACTCAGGTTTTTATTAAATAATACTGATGACTTAATTCATCTTTTAGTTATTAGTGGTATTTGGTGTCTCGTTCTATGTTTCGTACGTAACCACCGCAGTGGTCTCCTACATAAGGACGTGTATAACATTAATTGGGTAATAACTCCGGAATTATCTCCAGTGATACAAATATCTCGTAGAAACGAGGTTGCATTTGCAGCATAACATGAAAATTGCTGTCAGCATGGAAAAAGACGCACACGTTCTAACAATCCATCCATGCTCAACGCAGTAAGAAGAAAGCTAGTATTATTTTCCATACAGAGCCAGAAACCTGCCAAATGCGGTTGCAACCCAAATAAAAGGGGATTTTTCGCCATTAACCTTCCATTAAGTCACTTCTGTTATCTAGTGGCCGGTAGAAATTGTACAGTAATTAGTGACCACAAACTGTTCATCATTTTTTGAACAGTCGAGTCATAAGTACTTCCCACCTAGCCTGAAAAAACCAGCTTATCTATATCAGTTCACTCCCTAGACTTAACTCGGTCAATATTGTTAGAAATGCTTTGCTTGTAGTAACTTCCTCGTATCGTTCCTCTTATTCATATATGGATATTATTTTAGTCCTGATCGTGGTCAATCGAGAGAACTTGATTTTACCAATCCAAAGTTTCAAGGGATAATATATTTTATAAATTTCATCATATAAGTTATCTCCATTTACATTGAAAGTAATAACAAGTTGTATTAGTGCTTTGCGTTGTATTAAATCGGGAGACTATTCAAGGGCGAGTTCATGCTCAAGCCGCTGATTTTAAGTGCGCAGCGGATAAACCTCCTATTCTCTTCCTCAAAGTTTACAACGTTTCGTCACTCATTTGTTATGACCAGTCCTGAAGATCTCAGTAGTTCAGTATGTAGTTTCTCTATGGTCTACATATTCTTCATAGGAAATACAAGCTTTTATCACTAAAGTTAAAAGTTTACCCGGTGGAACTAACATTCAGCAAGATGAAGCTGAAAAAGCGGCTCATTTGTACCTCAGAGCTCGCAAGAGAGATGTGGAGCGTGCTGTGGAATTGTATAAAGCTAACAAGGTAGGCAGATGTTTTGAAATCGCAAATTATCGTGACCACGTTGAAGTATAATATTGCTGCTAATTTTATGATAAGCTTGATATCAAGTGTGAAAAGTATGGCACTAGTCCGCTTTCCATTTGTCTGATCATTGCAGGTTGCTCTTACGTCAAATGAATCTACACTTCGTTTGGTTCCTTGCATGATATTCAGCTAGAACTGTCTAGTTTATGTAATGCTCACTTTAATCGGAATACTATTGTCTAAATCTGGTTTCCTTCAGTTATTAAAGATAGAAATGACTGAGAAAATGTGCTGGAAATACTGATAACTGGATGGTGTGAAGCGATATCTAAAATAGGGAAAGGCTTACGACAGCTAGTTCGTTCACTAACTATTAGTCAGTCAGCTACAATGTAGGACCATTAGTAGAATACTTATAACCTTTTGATGTTGGATTTAAGTAAATCATTACCGTGACGCTTAAGACATGGAAGTTTCTACGGCAGTAAAACACAGTTTATATGTAACAATGCAACACAATAACTATGATAACTATTACAGTCTTTTTATCCACTTCATGATTACTAAATACAATGATGAAACAAGAAAATCTATTTAACAGTGTATTAAGGGTCCTATCCTTAGTTTACGAATACTCTTCAGTTTAAAATATCACTCGACGATCTAGAATTTTTCTAGCTAATAAACTTCAAACAACCACTTGCTGAGTTAGTGGTACGACTCTACTGCTAACACTAAAGTAGGTGGTGCAGAGTTTGAATTTGCAATCAAAACCCCCTTATAATGTTTAAATTTATTCGGTTTAGTTGTTTTATTCTTGTTGCTAAAGTTGGATAAATTCTGTGCACTCTAGAGAAATCTCTTTGTTTTCAGTAAATATTTAGATGGATCTTTTTTTAGCAGTCTACAACTGGTCAATATTTTGAACCATTCTTGAGTAAACATTAAAGATTAATTTAACTGGTATTAATTTGTAGTCCCTTGTATTCCTATCACCTTATTGTCATAATAACTAATTCCATTATTCGAAGTAGCGAAAGGGGCATATTAAAATTGTGGGTCAGTGAAACTTATCCCTTTTAATTTTTTGATTCTAAATAACGAGTTATTTAATATCTCTTTCTAATAAATTGTCTATTTGCTGCGATTATACCAATCTCGAAGTCGTTAGCGAAAAATACTAATAAATTGGTAAAAATACCCAACTTACCGTTTATCTAGTTCACAATTTAAACCTAACACAATCCGATGTTAGACATTTTTTCTGTTCATGTTGAGTTGTCGTATCCGAACTAATTAGTATTGAAACTTGATTTTCAAGGTTGTGCCAAGAATTTTTATGGTCTTTACATCAAAATATGAACCTATGTTTGTTGGTTAAATTTATCTGATATAATCAATTCAGTTTCGAACTATACCATTTCTTCATTTAAAATTTACATGACAAATTTACGATACAGTACTTCAGTTAATTAAGAGGGATGTCAATCAAACCAGACAAATTCACTAATATATTATAGTGGGACCCACTTTCCAAGTACAAGTCTATGTACTCAGTTTTGAACCACAGTGTAATAACTAGTAATACGATCCACGGCCATGCAAACAAAAGTAGGTGGATCGGGATTCAAACATATGACTAGCTGAATAAATGACATGTATTTTAACCCAGAAACTAAGATAGAAATAAAACCACAGTGTTTACAGACCGGTTAGCTAAATGTTAGTCAATGAACAATGAAATTCGATCTATAGTAGGTAATGGACAAACCACACTGGTTGCAACTTAGTGACCAATCAATATAACTAATTGGGCGAAAAAGTCTTTGAAAAAATACCCTGATCGGTTCAAACCTCACATATCATGTCTTACACATGTATTATTGGGTAAAATTGTGTAATCTCAATGCTTGGTTAAGGTGTATGGCCTCTATATTCGATTTTTCTTATTTAACACAGGACAGTTAGTTGAAAAAAGTAAGCTCTTAGCAACTGGAATGCATTCAAAATCGTGCAAGAGGTGATCTATAGTATAACTTCAGTAATTTTAAACATATAAAAGAAAGATTGTATCAGGATATAATACAGGATGAAAGAATTAGTTCATAGGAAGAAAGATATGAAACGATTTTAATCTCATAGTTTAAGGGAAGACAGAGAGTGTATACACCTACACCATTGTGATCGATTTTGAGTCATATCACCAAGAGTTTTTAACCATTGGTTACGATAGTCACGCGGACACCAACCAAGTAATCTGCATCTCTCAACATGGCTCAGACTAGAAGTTAGTGACTTCAAGGACTGATACCACGTTTTGATTTGGCTTCCCCTAACTTTCTTCCAACCGTCTCCAATATTAGTCAGCATTGCGCGTCGTGGCAATCGGTGTTCGGGCATACAAAACACGTGGCCCAACCATCTCAGTCGATGAAAATTCACCTCATCAACTGATTTACCATCATCATCATTCCCTAGTACACTGCGTCTAACCTCACTTTTACTTACTCGGTGATCCCAGCAGATGCGAGCAATATTTCTAAGGGATTTATGGTCGAATACTAGTAACTTGAGAGTATCTTCTACTCTTAACGGCCATGTTTCGCTGCCGTAAAGTAGAACAGAACGGACTGCCGCGCAGTATACTCGTCCTTTTATTGATAGACTGATATCTCGCCTTCGTCATAGGTGGTGTAAGTTGGCAAAAGCCAAACGAACTTTTTGAATCCGCGCTGAGATTTTGTCAGACGCCAACCCATTAGGGTTGATCAGACTTCCAAGATAATTGAAGTTGTCAACGCGTTCGACTACTTCACTCTCTATCCTTAGTTCAGGTGTTGACGCAGACCAGTCCTGAAGCAACAACTTGCATTTAGAGGGAGAGAAGCGCATTCCAAACATTCTGGCATTGTTGCTTAGTGCTACCAAAAGACTCTGCATTCTATCAGCGTCTTCACCAAACAGGACTTTATCATCTGCGTATTCTAAGTCGATAAGTGGACCTCCTGGAATGAGACCAATGCCCGAGAATTCAGTCGACGAGAATGTTATTTCCATCAGTAAGTCTATGATGAAGTTAAACAAAAATGGAGAAGGCGAACAGCCTTGTCGAACACCACTTGAGGTTGCAAAAGCAGATGACAGTTCGCCATAAGCTCTGACTCGACTAGTAGTGTTCGAGTAAAGAGCCTTCACTAGGTTTATGTACTTCTGAGGTACGTCTTTCAATGACAGACACTGCCACAGAATCTCACGGTCTATAGAGTCAAATGCTGCTTTTAAGTCAAGGAAGACCACCATTGTTGGACGTCGATAGACATGCTTGTGTTCTAAGATCTGACGAATGGTGAATATGTGGTCGATGCAGCCACGACCAGGTCTGAAGCCAGCCTGATTTTCTGGTGTTTTCAGTGCACCAGTCTTAGTTAGGCGTCCGATAATTATCGAGGCTAGTATTTTAGATACTATATTAGTTAAATTAATCCCTCTATGGTTGTCACAGGATGATTTTAACCCTCTCTTATATATTGAGACAAGTGATTGTGACCAGTCAGATGGAATAACATCTAACTCCCAGATCTTAGCTAAAAGATTAGTCAACCTAATCGCTAAAATTGAACCACCATCCTTAAAGACCTCTGAAGCCAATCTATCTGGACCAGTTGTTCTTCCTCGTTTCAGATTAGCTATAGCTTTTTAGACTTCAACTAGAGTTGGGGGACCTACTTCAATATTTCATTCAGGCTGTTTGGGAATAGTGGGTAGTTGTAGAGTAGCTGAAGACCAGCTGAACTGCTCCTTAAAGTGTTCCGCCCATCGTTCTAAACGTCTGGGATGAGAGCAGATAAGTATAATCTTTTTCCGAGGTCGTCTCACTTACACGTGACTTTTTAATTCGTTTCTTTTATTAGTCTGAAAAGGTGTCTGGTGTTACTTACAACCTCTGCCTTTTACATCCATTTTGCTTTCGTTGTCCACCACTGCCCACGATCGTTCCTTAGACTTTTGGTTAACCTAGATCTGATTTGTGGTGTTCAGAGCCTGATGGGATGAGTTTACGGGAATCTATCAGTGCAATAGACTCAGTAGAAATCCATTAATTTTTCGTAACCTTTTGGTTTAAATCACTCATAGATGTCGCTGCTGTTTCCACGGATGTCCGTATATTCTTCCAAGCAACATCTGGGTCAGCCTCGTTTTCAGGACTACATAAGTGTGACTTCAGTTGTTCCTGGAATCTACTTTTGTCTTTCTCATCACTGAGTTCAACTCTATATATATAGGACTTCATATCAAAGATCTGTTGTCTCGAACAAGAATCGTTCAACTTCCGACCAACAAAATGACTTCAGACAGTCCTTCTAGATCGATTTTTGTGAGGAAATTTTCAGACATTTGACAAACATAGATCTTAAACCCTCTATTATTAACGGGACATATTGTACCGAATACATCAAAAACACTAACATCCATCCGATAATGCCAAACGTCTACTCAAAGTGTGTAAATAAATGGATTACCTGTACAAAAGTTGTAGAAAAATGGTATGAAAGAAGGGGGGAGGTTTAAAATGGTTAAATACATGCAGCTATACTGCCTGGTTATGGTTTGGAAATAGGTTAGGAGCCGCCTAAACAAAACGTGGCATTAGTCCATGAAGTCATTGACTGTTGGTCTAAGACATTATTCTTAACAATTTCATTCCGCTGTATTTATATGCTCTCCAAATCAATTCGAATCAGTGCTCATATGTCCCAGGTTCTACGTTGCTTGTGACTGACTCAAATGTTTTTCACTCTTGTCCACTACATGAGCACTGTCGACCGAATGTGGTCAGTCATGAATATAATCGTTCTACTTATTAATTTATACTTCCATTATATATTGCTAAACTGACTTACTGGTTAAAACATTCATCTTTAAACCACTAAGTCACAAGTTTGAAGTTCACTCCGTTTATTTTTTATGAGAAGTGAGGAACTGTATCACCGTCCTTCATAAAAGTAGTATTGTTTAATATCCCGATTACAACAAAACTACACTTAATATATGAGTTTGATTATTCCTCAAGATCTTAAGCGTTAATGGTATGATCAGTATTCTTTCATATAATAACTAATATATACTCAATGCATTTATATTGTTTGTCTATAAGTAAATAAAATGTAAACCTACTCGTTGTTTATGTTTCTCAATTGATTTTCTGTTTTTAGCGAATGCGCTATACTGAAAATGTAGATTCAATCGATCCTTTAGAAGATGGTGTTCGACGTGAACTTCTATCTGGTAAATTTACTGTATTAGTAAGTTTAATCGGTGATGAGTTGCGACTTTCGTTTTTTGTTTAATAAAAACTTTTTATTATGCACTTCAATTTAATTTATTACTATTTCACAAAATCAATAAGTAGTCTGTTCCTCTTAGTAGTAGTAAGATTGACTTGTTGTTTTTCGTTTTGTAAAATAAATAGTCGTAGATTTTTATCAGTTCCTTATTCGTCTGTTATTGTATGTTTGAAGTTTAACTGATATCAGCATAAACATAGTACTGTACTACGAGTATGTATTTGAGCAATTTGTCCAGCTCTATCAGTCAAACTCAACGTAGAACCTGGTGCTTGTGTACATCGTTCCAAGTTGCCATATTCCATTGGCGCATCGAAATGAAACTGTTAGGGCCAATACCAGAGTGGTAGAGGTAGTAACACTATGAGTGGTGATTGGAAAGATTATTCATAGAAGTTATACAACTGCAGAAGTGCATGTGAATTAGTGAAATAAAAATTATGTGAAATTGAGGAACCTGGAATCCGGGGTAAGCCATTTGTCCAACTTTACTTCACATAATTCGGTATAATCAAATCAAATCAACATTTTTAACCATCACATAATAAGTGTATCGTATTGTATAGTTCATGAGTCTGTTTCATTATACGATACACTAATTAAAAAATCCTAAGCTTCACAAAGTCTGGTTAATCACTATTTTCTTCACTCTTGTTCCCATAGCTCTTTAGTCATTACTCACAGATGTCGGGACATCGGGCATATGATATTGAAATCACGATGTAAGTAATCCTGAGATTAGGCGCAGGGTACTGAGCAAAAGTACTAGGTCCATTGACTAGTCTATAAACCATCAACTAAAGTGGTCGGGACACGTTTAACATATGTTTTGTACAACACCACCTACCCTGATGCTCTGTGCCTACTGGTATATAAGTAGGTTAGAAAACAAATTAAAATCGAGCAGATCTAATACAATACATCACTTCATAATGATTATTGGTCAGAGCCTTCTTGGTAGGTGAAAAATTCCATGTTGGAATCGGCACAAAAACTTATTTTAGGCTGGAGATACTGGATATTGTATTGTATAATCGATTAGGGTGGTACAGTTGCGTTAATTTCTTCTCTCTAAATCTTATATTTTGTATCATTTCACTCCACACTTTCATATGTTTCTTTAAACTATATTGTTCCAAGAATAGCTTTTTATTTGCATTCGATATTCTCCATCTCATGCCTCTCTTGTTTCCATTTTTTTTTCTGTTTTTGTGTTGATATAAGCTGTGAAAACGTACACTAACACACAAATTATGTGTTGATCAGGACTATCTGACAACTGATTGGAAAATCAAGTCGTTGGATTAAGTTAATTTTATAAAACGATAGATCTGGCAAATTTCATATTTTGTAAATGCCAATAGTTGAAGCTAGATTCCTAAGATCATGTTCTCCACCCTATCACAAACCGTCGTCAGGTTTCTTTTCTTTCTATGGAACATTTAAAGAATAACAATTCAGACACCCTATCTTCCTCAAAAATAATGGGTTCTACCCACATTTCAGTTGATTAATGTTCAACAAACTCTTTATTAGACTTTCAGCCTAACCATCATGACAAAAACGTTTTATCTCGATTTTTTGTATTTATGTATGTATTTTAGTGGTTAGCATCTGTTAGCTTGCTTAAAAGTTATTAGCTCCAATTAACTTCTGAGAAAAAGTTTAGTGATGCTATATTGAGAAAAGCAGCAATGTTTGTAACAATTTTTTTGCTGACATTGAATAACTGGAGTTAAAAAGAAAAAGAAATGAATTTAATAAGTTCAACTAGGTTTGTATTCGTTCTAATGATAAAATGATCATTTATGGTTTATCTAATTAGTATTTACAACACAAAAACTAAGTCCTATATAGTGTGCCAAAATACAAAAATTCTGGCATATACAATTAGTTACCTTAATTAAACATATCTTTAGTTCGTTCTTAAAACTATTTAAGTCTGTTTTCAGTAAAATCATGAACAGATCTAAGTCAGACCACCATTGAAGACCTAGAAGCACTGCACGACCATTTCGCTCTAGCATAGGATTACTTAGATGTGCACAACCACAACCTCGCGTGCGAATGCTTGACTTCTAAATCACAGGATTCAACGATTTTGATGCCAAACTTCAATTAATCTACGATATTGCGCGACCGTCTTCCATTATCCTCATTGGGTAACCTCACACTCGACACGAATTTCTTCCACTAGTCACGGTTTTCATTAGAACTCCGGAAATTTCCTTTTAAAGTTAGTCACTAGTAAGGGCATGATAATCGTCAGGAAGGCGTTGTGGAAACTGTTAAATTTGATTGAAATCAACGTTAGACTATCATTATGAACCTGGAAGCAATGTACGACCGTTTTGTCCTTGCACGAAACTTTGCAGTGCGCATCCACGATGTTTCACATGAGACTCGAACGCATTTTTTGAATAATCAATATTGTTTCACGATCATCAGCTTCTTTTTCTATGTATTTTCATTTGCCTACCTTTAAAGTAGAGGTATCAGTTTGGTCTTATTTAAAAAATGTCGTGTAGCGTTTAAAGCGAAGGAGTTTCATAGTGATAAGTCTTGCGGATTTGAACGCTATATTCGTCTCCTAAGCTATTCTGTAACCCCCAAGCTAGAACTACACAGCGACCTAAACACGAGAGAGAAGACTCAAAGTATGTGAGAAGTAGTTTACTTCGAGGTTCATTTTAACACATAAAATAGAGTTTTTATAGTATTTTAAATGTCCTTGGGTAGCTAGAAGATTCTGGAATCCTATTAAACATAGTAGAAGTGTAGCAGCAAACCAATCAGAGCCCTCTGCATGTGACATTTTGCTTACTTGACATTTTTGGCTAAAACTTCAACGGAACGCTGACTGAACGAAACGCTTCTTAATGATTACTGATGGTTGCTTGTCTTTTTTTGCAAGCAATTTTCTGGATCACCCCAACACATAGTTCACTAATATTTGAATATATGTATCTTCAGTGAAGTCATGAGAACAACTAAGTAAACAATGTCAAAATTTAAATATTCAGTATTAAATGTTATAAATCATAGACGATAAAGTTTGTGAATATTCATTAATGCAATGTGTAATATTTTCATCGAGTTCTACGTGAATTTTTGCGTGGTGACTGACCTTTAATTATAATCTACATCATCTTGTAATATGTTAAGAAGTTTCTAATCAAACCTTTTCTCCAATTGGTTTAATTGATATATGATTTATTTTTTCTGGCTTGATAATTTTTGCATATTTATATATGTTTGGTTTGTTGAATATTTTACTGATAGATAATAATAATAATAATAATACCGATCGACCATCTCCTTAGTAATGATTCTTTGTATTAATTAAACCATCATAAAACCGATTCACCTGATTAAGGTTTGAAATTTTTCGACTATATATATATATATATATTTGACGTATAGTTCTAGTGTTGTTTAACATTTACACACTTTTCTCTCATTCGACTTTTTAAAAAAAATACTTTTCTCGAATTTTATTCCTTGCCTAAATGCAATAATCGTATCGATTTGTAACTATAAAAATACTATTAAACATTTTACGAAACAATATACTTACTAGAGATGCTTCAATATTTTTTCCCTATGGTATACACATTTTTTTTATGTCTTAGGGGTTAATAAAAAAAAAGTCTAGTTCATCATTTGAAACTTGTTTTCATATATGAACTAAGAAAATGTACCTAATTTTCTGTAGTCATGTATGTGTGTGTTTGTGTCTTCAAAATTGAATGGATGTTCAGAAATCGTCTAAAAATGACTTATTGATGTTGCTTATTGCATGATCATGGAACATTTAACTTGTTTTTGAAATTATTCAGCATAAGATGTTTCTAAATTAATTTAGATTTAAGTTTAACACTTGTAATACATGTGATTTCTATAAAGTGAATAATATTAGAACTTATCAGATAAATTGTCTTCATATACATTTGTATAACTGTTGTCATAAAATGCCATTGACAATAATCTCAACTCTTGTAAGTGAGTGACTTCATGAATCATCTATCCCTCAACAGACTTTCCTTTTTTTAAAATTTAATTTTCAAACAAAGTCCTTAACAGTTAGTGAGTTTTTATTCTAGTTGATGAAGTTGTAAACTAGTTATTGCATAATAGTAAGAATTCAAATTTTAAAATGAATAAACCGGACTTTTTTTTCTCATTGGATAAAGACAGACAACATTCACATGATCATTTTTATCATTATTAATATACCTTTTTTTCCCCAGCCCACTCTTCCTGATGATGAAATGGATGCAACTGTTGCTATATTTACAGCTTATCGTCATTGGCCTCCTTTAACTACACATAGAGATACATTAAAAGGTGTTCTATATCAGTTAGATGCAGTAATGATGGAGTAAGTAATTCTTTCTTTGTGCATTTCAATTGAGAATATATCCAAATAAACTATTTATTTGAATAATATAATAATAATAACACATTAACATATGTTCATTTCCCTATTGTCGAGGTTAATGGCCACAAATAACTATTTTCTATTTCTCTCCTAATAGAGATTGAACATTTCCAGTTTTATAAATAAATAAATAAAAAAACAATAAAAATTTGTTATATTCTAATAGTATTATAATTTTGAACTTTTTCCATTTGACCCATACTCCCTGTTACCATAGTACCATAATATACATTTCTATTATAGTTTTACACCTGTTGATGATATTTATCATTAATATTATTTCCATTTTCTTATAATCACATGAATTCTAATATTAAAATCAGAATTCAATTAAGGCAACAAACGTTGTCTTCTTGTCATCATGACTTATTAAAATTTGAAGAATAAATGTGAATATTATGTATGGAATTAAGTATTAACTTATACACTAATTCTATTCATGGAAATATATCATTGTACAAGAAATTCATAATAAGTTGAAATCATGAGTCAGTTGAAGCTAGACCACCATTGAAAACCTGGAAGCACTGGACGGTTTTCAATGGTGGTCTAGCTTCAACTGACTCATGATTTCAACTTGTGAAAATTCTTAAACTCTCCACAAAAACCCATTCAAATTCATAATAATAATAATAATAAGTATACTTTTAAAAAATCTTATAAATTAAAACAAAACAGTTATGATTTACTATTGAAAATTTTAATTAGTCTTTCGTCTAACTGATGAATGCAATCATTGTATTGACTTTCGTTACAAATTATGGGAGTATTCTGTTGTTGTTTTTTCTGTCTCTTTTTTTAAAAATGGTATATCATACAGAACAGAAATACATTTAGTTTGATTTTTATTTAGATGGAATTTCATTCTCTAAGCTGGATGGTTTGATCGTGGAGCCTTCGTTGTTCTTCTGAACGACATCATCAGCACAAATTTCAGGTAGAAGTGAAGTGTTCAGATTTCTCCACATATGACTCACAGCTTGTCCAGTCGACCTCGATCTTGATTGATTATTGTTGACCTTTAACTTCCTTATTTTGATTGTATCCACAGTTGTCCATATGCATTGATATAAGCGAGGATATGTCATCGTGTTTGACTGTAGGTGAGGATAAAGGGGTCATCCACTTTGTCCATTGTAGTGTTTTTCGCAGTTGGAACAATTTATCTTTGTAGATGATATTTGGCATTTCTTTTCATTCCGTTCATCGGTATGCATAGGATTGATTGAAGTGATTTTGCTGGTTTGTGTGCTACACCTATCCTAAACGGCTTCAATAATCTCGTTGTAATTCCTGACATCTTTTATATGTGGCAGAATGATCCGTTTGTTGGTTTTTGTACTTGGTTTTATTTCTACTGATGCCTTGAGTTGATATTTTTTGATAAAGTTGATTGCGTAGCCGCTCCTTTAAAAGATAGTCTGTAGATATTTTTCTTTATTTTTCCACGCTCCAAGCGTGTTACAATGTTTCCTCGGTTTCTTGAATAAAGTTTGTACACAGTTGATCTTGTGAGTTCTTGCGTTGTTGCTACTGTAATTGCTATATAAAATACTGATATTTTATTTAAAAAATATCTTTTGTACAACCATAAAAGTGGATGTGATATGATACTCAAGCTGAATTACAAAAAACGAAACACTTACTGCTGATGCGGACTGTATATGAAAGTATTTGATGTGATTCAATGCACCATCAAGGATGTTTATGTAACTAAAAGGTATTCTCCCACTTTAAATTCTAGCTCTAAATCTCAACCCCTAGCTTTCATAAGTTTATAAACAAAACTGTAACTAAGCATCATTGCATCATAGTTGATGGCAGTTCGTGATGAAAACCCCAACTTTTATAACCAAAGATCAATAATGACTAGCAGTGGAATCCAGGATGCGCGTTTCGTCCTACTTGGAAGTCGTCGGCTGAATGTACTTGCATTTCAGAGTTGATGTTCACTCTGGGACTCGAATCCAGTACTTTTATTTTTTAACTTTATTTCGCCTAATATACCCTAATTTAACCCTTCTTTGTTTACTATGATCAATGATGCAACATGTAATCACATCAAAGCTATTCATTTACTGTAATGCTATTGCTTTTTGTTGTTAATTCTTTTTTTAAACTAAATATTTTGTTTCTGATTGCTAATTAAGTCGTTCCAGATCATCAGTATACTATACTTTTATCATAATTAATTGAAGGAAATCAGTACAATCTGTTTTGACTATCAATGGTTTATGGAGATTATTCAATTTCATAGGTAATATCATATACAGACTTCAGTTAGACAACCATTGAAAACTATGAAGCACTGGTCAGCTGTTTCATTATAGTAATGGAGATACCATAGCAATGCGCATCCACGACTCTGCCAGAAGTTGAACCCATGATTTTCAGATCTCGTGGTAAGCGCTAAACTTTCAGACCACTGAACAAAAATCCAATAGTCTATATTCCAAACTTTAATCACAATTCACTCACTGTCACAGCGAACCCCCATACTAGGATGAAATAGCTATCCAGTGTTTCCTACTTTTCAATGGTGTTCTCACTATAATCAGTCTATGATATAAACTATGAAAATTTAGTTTAAAGGATAAAAATTTAATGAATGAATCAAATACAGTATTACATCAATATTTAAAATTCCAATGGTTTACAAACTTCAATGATTATAACTTGTTCAGGTCATTGGTTTGAATTTAGGACCATGTAAAATTTTAGTTTAAACAGATGATTAATGACATCACTACTATCGATACGTCTGTATCATTAATATTTTCTAAGGTTGTGTTCAACTTTTGTATCATTGACGCTTTCGGTGAAAGTATAATATACTCACTCTCTTGAGTTAACTAATCAGAACCAAAATGACGCCTCGTGTTTTGTTTGAAGCTGAAAACGTCCAATGATAGATAATGTGTTTGTTTTTATTAACCAGGTGAAAATGGGCAATATTTGGTTCTTAAAATCAATGAATATATATATATTATACAAGGGAATTTTGTATGGTGCTTAAACTGAATTTTGAAAAACCTACTCCTAAGGCAGATCGTTTGTTAAAGTACCAAATATTGTTCACTGCGTAGTCGAAAATGTTTAATAAAGCTAGATAATGTTCCCCGTTTCTCACTCTAAGTATCATCCTTAAGTTTCTCAAATTTGTAAACAGAAGGTTGATAAAGCGTTGTATTGTAGCTGTTTTTAGTTCATGTTAAAAACCCTGACCGTAATTTGTAAACTCAAATACCTAAGTTTAACCTTTTTGCATTATGACTGGTATCAGTTGGTGACGAAAATTTATGGGGTGATGACGCTACTCACAACAGTGACCCCAACCCCTAATACGTATCCATGTATGTAAACTTACTCCTTTTTTCTTAACTACAAGTAATAATTTGAATTTTGACAGTTAATTATTGCGATGAAAGCTGTTATTTCATTATTTCGCATTGTTAATTGTTTTAGAACTGGAAAGCGTTTTTTTTAATTGGCTGATAATTCATCGAATTTCTACGTCTTTACTCTATAACTTTAAAAAGCGTATCTATTCTGGACGTTAAAATATTAGTAGGCCATCAAAACTTCTTAGATAGGATTTTCATAATACAACTATACAAATTTACTGAATTATTAGTTCTAAACTGATTGTGACTCTTCCATGTTCTGACGTGTTCTTAATCACATACCTATATAGATGATTGAATAAATACACTGTCTGTATTTACTAAATAATTTGACAATATGGTTAAAGTCTATGTATAATTTAATGAAAGGAACATGTTTTGACAAAATTATTATCGTATTTTGACAATTAATCTAATTAAAACTTTCAATCACTTATAATTTGTACATGCATTGCATAGATGATCAGATAAATCTCTTGTATGTTATTTGATTCACTTGATAAAAACCGCTTAGTTTGTTTTTCATCAAGTATCACTATTTTCATGTGATGAATACATTGATATATATATGTGTGTAAACATTTATGAAAAAAACACAACACATATGATCGTTATTTTGTATACACACCTTCACTATATATCTGCACAAAATAGTGGTATGGATACTTGTTATATCCTGTAGAGAATATAATTGGTTATTTCTCCCTGTACAAATGAATAAGAACGGTTATGAGTCGATGTAAAGAAAGAAGGCAAGACCACAGATGAAAATTTTATTATGCACCTACCACGAATTCAAAAAAACTATTTTAATACAACAATTTATATCAGATTTATCTATCTTGTCACTTGGCAAATATAAATATATTTAACTAGGTAAAGGTTGATATAAATTAATCAGTGATTAAATCCATGCACACAGTTTACAGTGTCAACAGACTTGATTGGATTAATTAACAATACAATGAATTACTGAGTTACATATTTTCTGCTAGTAGTATTAGTATTTTTTGTAAAAACGGTTATATATTTGGGTTTCCGGTTGTATTTACGAAAAATTAAGAATCTGCTTGTACAATGCAGAGAATGGGAAACCGAATAGAGTGAACGTCTACCACACAACAACACATCGACATTACTAATCCAGGCACCAACATGAGGTAAAGAAGAGATTTTCAGAATTTCTTTATCATCTGAACAGAAGTCAACAATTGAAATTAAATAACTGTTTATACTGTAACGTGCGACAACTTGGGAGCACATAACGTAGCTAACTAAGAACAACAACTAATCTGATAGCAGCAAGGACTTCTGCGGAAACATAAATAGGAAAAGTGTTTGATTGAAGTTATTCCCTAGAGAAAAAACAACGAAACCATAACACGTTGGCGAGCTAATCAGAATCGATTTTGGGATTTCAAAATCACGACCCATATTCGAATTCATAACGAACACCTACAATCGGTTTACTGGGCATTTCAAAGATGTTTTGATTTATCATCTGCAACAAATGGGATTGTTGAGAAGCTTCATTATTTGTAATTGTGGAGTCGAAATGACTTCTTCAACTATGTGTAGAGCATTGCAATAACGTAGCATTTCGGTTCAAATGTGTTGAGGAAGGAAATCATTAAAAATGAGGACATTTCCTTGTTCTCCAGACATGTCATATGTATTTTCATAGACTGGATAATGAAAGGACCAGTGACTTTGACTACTATTCTTGCTAATGTTACTGCAGCTTTGACAGTCCAGTGATACGGGTATTACAAGGAAATATGTGTTATCAACATGAAAAACTTAAATTACTCGTTTAAAGTTGTAGAATGTATGGTAGAAATGGACGAAACGTTTATTAAGAAACGTTGAATTTTAACTTTTCACTTCCGTTTGAAATATAAAGCTATTCTGGAAATCTCTTCTTCTTTATTTATTTTTATTTAACTTAACACATAGATATTGGTACAATGAAGCACCAGATAGAAATGAGACACATAAATCATTCGACTTGTGTGAAGGCTGTGATACTGATCGGGTGCCCGAACCGAAGCAGGTGGTTTTCTTAGGGCGGGGGGGGCACACCCGGCGCCTTCGACCTGAAGGTCTGATCCATAAGGCAGTGAAGCAACGTAAGGAGATGCAGTCCCATGGTAACCGGTGACCAACGATTGGTTCATACACCATTTGTTCCTTCAGGATCCTGGAGCCCATGTGCACGATTAGTTTGGAATCAGGGTTTTCCAACTCCCCTAGGTGGACTCTCCATGTTCACCAACCCGGTTAGAGCGCCGGATATTCTCTTTTCGTCCTCTCAATTTGGCAAACAACATCCCCGCCACGAGAAAGCAGTGAGTAGGAGTTCCCTGGCAGAGGCTATATACGCATGGCCATGTGAGAGCATTTCGAGACAGCTGACTCTCCCCACTCTCGGCCGTACGAGGGCATTGGAGGCCTCTTCTTCTTTACCTCATGTTAGTGCCTAGATTACTAACGTCGATGTGTTGTTGTGTGGTAGACATTCACTCTATTCGGTTTCCCATTCTCGGCATTGTATAAGCAGATTCTCAATTTTTCGTAAATACGCTTTACCGTAGGACAACCGGAAACCCAAATATGTTACCGTTTTTGCAAAAATAATAATAATAATTATTATTATTATTATTAACTTTAGTTTGGAACCGAGTACACAAGTTTGTACTTAATAAATGAAAGATAAATAATGTAATAGTGTTGGTGTGGGTCACCGGGATATTCTACATATAGGGAAATCATTGTGGCTCATATCAATCTGGGTCATCTTTAGTTCTATACTGATGTTGGTATGACTTTAATGTATCGGGTATACAAAGCGTTCATGAAAGTAGTTCTGATTCATATCTGTAAAACCTGGGCCTTCTGAATCATTGATCTTCAGCGACTTCGTGTTTGATTATCGTCATGCGAATGGTTTCTCACATTTGACACCAACACCATGTATTTAATCTTGAAGTTCTGAAACTAAGAGAAAAGCAACCAGGTGGTTAGTTTTCTGCGTGATTCCGTGATATGAAAGATACCTGTATAGGACTAACATCTATCGGTTACGATTCTTTGGTTAGAGTCCTAAAGCACATACAATTCAGCCTATTACTGTTCTATGGTTTCTAAAACCAACTTGTTGTCTAAGTAGTATAACATTTTTTGCAAACTGTTTACACGTGCGCTATTTTTTTCTTTCTTTTAAATCCCGAAATAAAATAACAAATATTTACTTAAATATAGTGAGCAGTCGCAAAGAAAAGGACTTGTGGTACTGTACGATATGCGTGATACAAAATATTCCAATTTTGATTATCATCTTTGCATCAAATTGTTGAATTTATTCAAAGTAAGTTTTGTTTTTGGTGGCTTATCTATTTAATTTTATGGTAATCTTCATCGTAAAATGTAATCGTCACCTAATGTAGAGTGCTACTGTAATTCAAGGTAGTACTACTGTAGTGAACAAGAACACGGGTGGGGACAAACGGATATATTTAGCACAACAATTACAGACTATCTCAACAAAATCCGAATACCATATAGTAAATCGTCAATTTGCAAAATATTCATGCATCAAACCAAACTGGACTGTTTCTGTTGCAAACACCAATCCATTGTCTCCCATTCCATTGTTCATGCATTTTCTTACAAATTCCATTGTGTTCTCACTCTACCTTTCTTGATCTTCCCCATCTTCCGCTGCCAGACATTACGTTCTTTTAACGCACGTTATATACTACTTATACCAATATACGTAGCTCACACCACACTACTCGATGGAGGTTTGATTCTTATTTACCCAGTGACACACCAACTAGAGATTGAATATGGGTTGTGTCATCAATTCTCACATGAGAAGAATAAAAGTCACCTGTACACTTATCGATTGAGTTGAATCGATTATTGAAGAGCTGTTTACAGTTTTTTATAATTACTGTCAGAAAATTAGACAAAGAATTATTGGTGATTTCGGTATCGATTGTCACATGCCTTGCCATACGCACACACGCACACTGTTTACTTTCCGATTGATTCAATGTGATTTAGAAAAAATTTCACAGATGATAGTTCGTTTAGATAAAACTCATTAGTTGTTTGTATTTGTGAATTTAGCAAAATTAAAATCTGAATTGTTATGATTGAATGTTCATTGTTTGATTCAATGTGAACTACAGCTTTGCAGAGAGTAAAGGCTTATTTCTGTATCATAGGTTTTCTTCTAGGCTCACTCTTAAAGAAATAGGTATCATTATAATCCTCATTTTTAGAAGGAACACTAGTTATAGAGATTATTATTATTACTCGTAGGTTCAATGCCAAGTCATTTGTGTGTTTTCTAAACAAATGTCAAATAGTCCTTTTATATCCTCATGATTCCAGATTTGATGCCAGTAGCGATGGAATAAATGCAAAACTTATTAATGGTTGGTGACTTATTGTTGTTGAGGTTCAGGACTTCAATCAGTCAGTTTCTGCTGCCATACGTACATCCTGAACGAATTGCCTTTTGTCACAAATTTTAATATATTTAAATTTTAGTTGTCAATGCAAACCAGTATGTGCGTTCCGTCCCACCTTAGACTCGTCAATGTACTTCGATTTAATTATTTTTTTCATGGCTGTGCGCCAATATATTTATGTATGATTTACAACAATGAAATAATACTCATCGATTAGTTATTTTATGTAATAATTATATAATGACATATTGATTATAAAATAACATTGAGCAACCGGAAGAAAGAGGATTATAATAATCAAAGTTATTATTCGGAAATGAAACAGTTGCTACGTTGCATAATAATATAAAAAGAAGGAACTAACAAAATATTTTGATGAAAAGTCAGTATTATAGTAGTTATGTAAGACATCAAGGGACGAATGTTGAGAATAGGTAAAATACAAAGGTGGAAGAAATTAGAAAATAGTTTAAATATTCCTGAAGGAGGTTTCATCAAAGTTCTGCTACCGACCCACTCCTATACCGATAGACAAGGTAGAGAGAGTGGTTTCACAAACATCTTTCGGATGCGAAGGTTTGGTTTGTGAGCATGGATTCCAATGGCTTCAGAAATGTGCAAAAGACGAACTTGTAAACCATGTGGTAAATTTGATGGAATATGGTGGATAACCTTGGAAGCTTTATTCAATCCAACTTGATAACCTATGTTCACCAAGTGAGCGAGAATATAACTCTTAATCAATCCTACCTATCCTTTGCTCAACCAAGACAGATGGTGTTCTGTTATAAAATGAAGGACTTGCCGAATTGTACGCCCTATAAAACTGGCTCCACAGGAGTAGTTGAATTGGTAAACACATATGGATGGGACGAATTCAGGCAATGTCTTTACTATGGGGCGGTTGTAAAAAACGTCACTCAGTATGGCTGCATTAAATGTTTTCTGTACCGCTTTTTTTAACCATTGAGTCACAATTTCCTCGGTAGCATCATTTGGGGATTGTGATTTTAAGGGTTCTCCCTCTCGAAATGCTCTCACATGGCCACGCGTATATAGCCTCTGCCAGGGAACTCCTACTCACTGCTTTCTCATGGCGGGGATGTTGTTTGCCAAATTGAGAGGACGAAAAGAGAATATCCGGCGCTCTAACCGGGTTGGTGAACATGGAGAGTCCACCTAGGGGAGTTGGGAAACCCTGATTCCAAACTAATCGTGCACATGGGTTCCAGGATCCTGAAGGAACAAATGGTGTATGAACCAATCGTTGGTCACCGGTTACCATGGAACTGCATCTCTGAACGTTGCTTCACTGCCTTATGGATCAGACCTTCAGGTCGAACGCGCCGGGTGTGCCCCCCGCCCTAAGAAAACCACCTGCTTCGGTTCGGGCACCCGAGCAGTATCACAGCCTTCACACAAGTCGAATGATTTATGTGTCTCATTTCTATCTGGTGCCTCATTGTACCAATGTTTATGTGTTTAATAAATAAATACATAGTACACTCACACATTAAAAAAAAATTATCATATCATCTCGTTGTACCACAAATAAAGGTGTTTAGCTAATATATCATTTGAAAAAAGCCTAACTAACTTGAATTATAACTGATTGGTTGATGTAGCAGTGTGCGATAGTTTAGTTACAATCATTCAATAACTCATCATAGTGTTACAGTTGCTATTAATAGTTATTTACACTTTTCGGTATGGTTTAAACACAAGTAATATTACAGTCACTTACACTGAAAAACCTTTGACTTTGGAACTATACTAGTTTCAGTAACAGATAGCTATTACGATTTTAAAACTTGCTTAATAAGATTCGATCATCATTCGGAATTAGACAAATACGAGAATGTTTTCTATTCAGCAGTTAATCAGTACAAGTATCTCAGTCACTCCAATAAAATGATCAGTTATTATCCTAATAGTTCATTAGTAATATTTTTCACATTGGTGATGTTAGGTCAAATACAACAGGGAACACCAGGACCTTGAAAATTGTAGATATACACCTTGTTATGGACTACTAACTATCATGAAGCCCAAGTTTGATTTCTCTCGCCGATCGCTTCCAACCATATATCATGTTCAATTTAAACGGCCTTTCTATTTCGTGCAAATCAACTCTCAGTTAGTCTTTTCGTTATTTGTCTTTATGTCTCATGTAGCCTCTTGATTCTAGATACTCAGGATTGCAGCCTTAGACCTGTAAGTTGAAAGTTTATTAGTGCTAATCATAATCCGTTGCTCCGAAACTAATTCACTTAAGATTTATCAGTTTGTCGATACCATTAATGAACTTTCGGTGAAAATGTTCCTTTTTATTCACGTTTATATGTCGATTTTTTATCCCTTGGTTTATGTGCTTGGAGGCGACCGGTAGAAAACCGATCCTTTGAACATGGTGTAATCTGCAATCTTAAGAGCACTTATACTCTGTGAGATTCTAATATTACGCATACTCGACTATTACCTATGTCGACGCTCGATGTTTTATGGTATAGTAGTAGATCTAAAAAAAGCTATAGACGGCCAAAACAAGGCTTATTATCAATCCATAAAGTCATTGACTATAGTACTTGGCCCTGTTGCTATCTCTAAACTACCTGTGATTGAAGTCTATGTGATTATCGTAAACCATGGTTTGAGACTTTTGATGAAGTAGGTCCGAATCATTTCGAATATAGCACATGCCTTCACTCTTAATCTGCCCATAGTTCAAGAGTTTCTAAATCATATCCTGTACGCCTAACCTTCATTTTTCCTACTACTTTGATATTCATCTTTATAGTTTCATCTCGATTCACTGATTTTGTGTGTCAACCAACTTAGACTGGTAGACATAAGCAAAATTTAAAATCTAGTACATATGCCTGTGTATTGCTTTTTTGTGTATGATGTTGGACTTACCTATTTGTTGGGATATTCAGGAAAATATCCCAAAAATTATTCTATCAAGTCTAATGCTATTCTTGGACTTGGAAATGGTATCATTTTCTGATTGGTCAATATTTATTTAACGTGTCACTTTCCTGTTGGCCAATATTGTACAATGTTATTTTCTATTTTATGGTACGATGTGGTCTGCTTGATTGGTATATAAGCAGAGTGTGCTTGAAATATAACGATTCATATCTCCGAGGCTGAGACTTGCGTTCTGGACTCAACTGGCTGAGCTAGACAGGGAAGCGGGACCAATCAGAACCCTAGGCCGTTCTTACGTGTTTGCGCGTCTTTGGTTCGGTCGATAATTGGCTGTCCTCTAATCTGCAGCATCACCGATATAGCACTATTAATTATAAATATTAGCCACAGAACGTTTTTCTCTCTGATATACATTTTTCATCATTTGTTTTGTTTTTATTTGTCCATGTATGTACAATGTTTATGTCACTTATCCTCTATATAGGGTGTTTATCCAGCTCGTCTACGTAAAGTGATTATCATTGAACCACCATTTTGGTTTCGAGCTCCATTCAATGTACTGCGATTATTTGTTCGTGAAAAAATGCGAGATCGGGTAAGTTTTTAATTTTATTCTATTTAAATAGTCAACAATTATCATTTTTAATATGGGGATTTGTGATGATTGTAGTATCTTAACAGTTGCATTAACGAGTCGATATAAGCTAGATCACTACTGACAACCTGGAAGCACTGGATGGCCATTGGGTCCCTGTATGGGACTCCTCAGCAGTGATCATCCACGATATTGCATATATATATATACGATTTGATAAGAACTATTTTACGGGCGGAATTACCAGTGTAAAAATGTCTTAAATTGTAAGAGGATTGGTTGAAATATTCCATGTTTCCTATTCAAAATTCATCACTGTAACGATAAATGTAATATGAATAATAATAATAATAATAATAATAATAATAATAATAATAATAATATTATTATTATTATTATTATTATTATTATTATCATTATTATTATTATTGAATAACACTAGCACATGATCCTATACTCAGTTATTATCCACAGTTTTGCGTGTGTGTGTGTTTGAGATGTGACACATGGAAAGGGCTAGTGAATGATGTAGCCTAATAATTGCCAAAACTGAAGTGAATAAAAGAGAATTTTTTATAGGAATTTTTTATTGACTGTAAGGTAAAAAAATATTCGTAAACCGATTCATTAGACCTACACAGTTGTAATCAATTTTAAATCATATCACATTCAAGAATTATGTAACTGTTGATTTTTACTTTGTCTTATTAGAAATTTAATACCAGCGTGTTTTTATCTTTACTTTCTTGTATGATTTTAACACAATAACAAAATTTCATGTAGTTATCACAAACTTCTGTATTAATATTATTTAATGAAATCGTTTTGAGTTTATTCACATTTGTATATATTAATAGGTTAGACATATTCCAATTTTTCTAATTGAATTGATAAATTACATATTCAAGCTAACTCGATACTCCATTTTTGTTGTTGTTGTTTTATCAAACATTTGTACGGTATAATTGTGTGATTGACACTTGAATACACTTAATGTGACTTGAAAGCCCTCATCAATCGGTAAACCTGTTAAAGTAGACTTAATCTATTCAGAGATGAGAATAAACCCTGAAAAAGTAAGTAATATGATCAAACGGAAAGATAATCAGTAGGAAACTCCAACTAATCAATGATATGCATGTTGACAACCGCAAATCGAATTCAACATTCAGCTAATAAGCTGTCCATAACTTATGGAGAGATTATAATTGTTTTTATTCCTCTCTTTGTACTGGCGATAATGTCGAGACAGGCAGTTAATCAGTCATAAGGGACATAGAAATTGACATTCTTGTGCTTCGATTAAAGTTACCTGCCACAAAACATTAACACAATGATACGAAGTTATTACAACGAATACCAAAAAAGTAGTAGAATTAGTAGAAGTATAATTTCGTGAACTACAACTATGTAATACATAACTACCAACACATCTCAGCTCAACAGTGGATAATTTCTTAGATTAATGCCATGCCATGTTTTAAACGGTTTTTGCTTACTTCCAATGTATTTCTTCAGCAGTCAATATCACACATGGATATACACAATTGTCGGGCATACCACTTCAGTCGATGAATATTCATAGCCTCATCAACTGATTTATCATATTCTCTTTGTACTCTATGCTTAACTTCATTATTACTTGGTCGTTTCACGACGTGTGAGCAGTTCTTCGAAGATACAATCAAGAATTTCCAGTCAACACATATTCTATTTTATAAACAATGTTTCATAGCGTTAATGTAAAACTTGGCATTTAAAAACAAAATATATTCGTAGGTTATCACTGGTGGTTGATCATAGATGTCTTCGAAGCATCGTTCGCATATGTTGGTACCACTAATTGAGTTATTCTGGGGCTAGTCTCTGGGTACCAGACAAAGGCAATCAGTTGTTAATGATGTGAATCTTTATTGAATGGTACGGTTTGAAGAATAAAATACTTTTTACTGTCAAACCAGCTATTCAACTCTCGATGAATATATATTTCACCACCAACGACAACATGAGGAAATCATTATCCTATGCTATAAATCCCTTTGCCAACAGCACTATTAACTCTATTATGCACTGGTACTAGCAACCTTGTAAGATAAATTGTTGTAGTTCTTATCATAAGCGGTTCGTAAAATAACGAAATATACACACCTTCTTTCAATCCATATACATATATATAACAGACATCCTTGCTTTTGCCATAACCAAAAGCTAGCAAATTTTTTCATGGCTTACTTTCCACTCATTTCTTTCTTCAAGTCAAACAGAAAATGTTGTTTAAGTTTTGATTTAGGCAAAGCAGTTTCACTGGGGAAAAATCATTCGTTTCTCTGTGTTTTGTCTCTAATGTTATTGTTCACCTGTATTTTCTAGAAACAGACTTATTATTAATTAATTAATTAATTAATTAATTAATTTATTTATTTATTTATTATTATTATTATTATTATTATTATTATTATTATTATTATTATTATTATGTGGATAATACACTGACAAATTAATTATTCAATTGACTTAGTTATTTGGTTATTAGACTCTTATCCCTACGACGCATAATGATTTCATGCGTGGGTAGAAACACGGAATAGAAAATTATTTATCATATGCATATGTCTGTCTATCTCCTCTATATTGGTTTTATTACCTTACACACCTGTAGTTTGTGTATGAAAATGAGTAGTAGGTGGATAAGAGTTTAATATTATACTTGATGATATTCCCATGTACAAAAACTATTCACATTTGTTTATTTGAATGAATGTTGGTTGATTGTATGATTTTGTTTAGTAACTGGATAGTAACTAAGACAATATGCCCATATACATTGAATAAATCTTCTTTTTTTTCATTCTTTATATGTTCTGGTTTTACTCTGCGTGTTTGAATGTACACAATTTTTTCCATCTGATGTTTTTTAGGCTGATGGATACATTTTGGCTGCATTTTATTTTTGCAAATCACAATATCATATACATTTAACATATTTATCATTTTGTGATGGGATAACTAATTATTTATCAATATTCGATGGATGTTTTAGTGTTAAATATGTTCGTTTGTGTTGTATACACACATGTGTGCGTGCGTGTTCTATTAAAAGGTGTTCCATATCTTAGATGAATTAGGTAGCATTCTAGGAAAAAATATGTATCGGTGAGAAATTTTTGCATGTCTTCAGCTAAATGAAAACACTACAGACGCATGTAAACATACAGACGTTATGATCATATTGGCACTTAAATATTTCAATGGTTGAGATCATGAGTCAGTTGATGCTTGACCACCATGATAAACCTAGGCGCACTGGACGGTCGTTTCGTCCTATTGTGGGACTCCTCAGCAGTGTGCATCCACGACCTCACCCCCCCCTGCGAGATTCGAACCCAGGACTTTCTGGTATCGCGCGCGAGCACTTAACCACTAGACCATTTAAATATTTCACTAATAAGATGACCAACTACATTCAGTGATCACAGACTAGTAGCCAATGTCGTATTTTGTCAAGGCTTCAGTGCTCATAGAATTTCATCAATCAAGTTACAGTGGCTGCTAGTTTATAGATGACTTGACATCTCATACACTATGACAATCTCGACATTAGTATACTTGCCCTTAATATTCTCTACTTATCTTCAGAAACAGAATCCACAATGTGTTTTGTTGAAATACATATAATGTATTCCCCTAGCTCTTTTCTATCGATATCAGGCAATATCACATGATGTTGAAGTAATCAATTCTTCATTTTAATTCTGTTCAGTCACACTTTCTACGCACAATCAAATAGATTAAAGATTCAAATCCCTATTCCGTCTACTTTGGTTTAGGCATTTGGGGATGTAGTCTCATGCACCTTCATATACACGCAGTGTGTCAAAACGTATTAATAAATGCATTCTAGATGAATTGGTATTTATGTTTATATTTATATGTTAAATCTAGTTATGTTACGTAAATTCTTGGACTAAAGTAGACATTTGTGGGATTCGAACCCATAGCCGAAATCAAACTCCATAACAATTAGGCTTTTGTTTTTACATTATGACTAAAAATAACCCAACAAATATCACTCAGTTAATAAATAAGTTTCTCTTCAGTGATAATAAAATACGTAGACTAGAAAATAGATTTATTTCATTTTAAACATCACTCCAGTCTTTATATTTCCACTCATGTTTTGCTCCGAAAAAAATTTCATTGTTTATAATTTCTTTAAATAAAAAACGAACTACTTATGTAATATTCTATATTATCGTTATAATGGAAAAATAGAATAAGTTTTTGCTTGGTGTTCGTGATCTTATATTCGACAGTATATAATGTAATTTGATACCGGGTCATCTAATGATGGACAATTAGATCATTAGATAGATCAAGGTATTAGATCACATGACTCAGTGATAAAATTATCCGATTATTGAGCAGAAATTAAGCTAGAATGAAGTCAGTATAGGGTCAGTTTTACGCCTAAAGTAGTCTCCTATTTCTAACACAGCTGTATATGTTTATCTTCGCTCATTGCCCAATTATATGTTATTTTCATCTGATGCATCAGTTTTTTTTGCTGAGTCCGGGTAACGAGAATAAACAAGTATATTTCTGGCATCATTTTAAAGCACAAGAAAAAAAGAAACGTAACAGAGTGGTAGTGATGATGGTGGAGCTAGAGAAGATGCGTAATAAATAAATATCACACCTACGTGTTCATTATGAACGTTGAATTGAGTAAATGAATGGAACTGAGATTCTACAAAATAACTAAACATAACGTTATTATGTGCATTTATACTACGATGGTTGACTTCTCAAACAATCGAACTAATAAATCTTGAGATCTGGGTTCTTTTGGGTCTACGATTATGGTTGTCCTATAATACCATCGGGAGCTAATGCAAACTCGGTAGTGCAGGTCACTGATACTCAAAGCGCTTCCATAATTAACTCCAACGAGATGAAACCCAAGTAGAAAACATCAATGTAAAAACTTGATATTCAACATAGTTAATTTGAAATAGAACAGCTCTATAAATATAGTAATATGTGATCTTGGGAAATAATAGAATTAACAAACTTAGCTTAGTGATAGCCAAACAGAAGACAGCAAAGGTCATTGCAGAAATATCTGTTATTGGGGCTTCCACTAAATATTAACAACTATCTTATTCAAGACTTGATATGTAATTTCTTTACACAAATTCCAAAAAAAGATTCACCTAATGTAGTCACTAATATGTACTACTATGACATTAAAGAGGAAGAATATATTTATGTCTTACATCAACTCGGCACCCAAATACTGTGAAACTATTCGATCAAACTTAGACAAAAGTTCTTATTTATAACTACTATCAGATAAAACTCACTTTTTTTAGAACAGGATTTGTACGCATACTTTGAAGTGACATCAACAATCTAAATGGAGGAGTAAACAATTGTTTGTGTTGTTAGACTTCACTCTTCAAGATCATACCTACCCGATTGAATACAGCTCTTGCTAATGTTCATCTGTTTTACAAATATAACACAATTTTTTATCTATTTTCTACAAAATAAAATATCACATTCACCATCATCAAAGAAGTTTGAATAGGACGGAGATACACTCCTTTCAATTCATATATATATATATATATATATATATATATATATATATATATATATACCATAGTGTTATATAAACATGGCATTTATGTTTTGCTTGTAATAACTAACTTAAATAATAGTGATATTTGTTGAAGATCACCTTCAATGTGTTTCAAAAAAGAAATCAATAGTTTTTATATCAACTGCCTTCTACCTCTAAACCGATATATATATATATATATATATATATATATATATATATATATATATATATATATATATATATAATCATAAACAGGTTATATATAAAATTAGAACTGCGTGTTTTACTTGCCATAATTTACAAACATATGATTTAAGTCAACTTAATTAGAAATGTACAATTTGAATTTAGAAAAGAAACAAAATAAAGCTAAATATAGTAATTATTAGTATAGGGTTTGTGGAGATTATTAAGTTTTTGATTGAGATCATGAACCGATTGATGTTAGACCACCACGTTTGAAAACCTGGAAGCACTGGACGGCCGTCTCGTCCCATCGTGGGACTCTTCAGCAGTGCGCATCCACGTTCCCGCTCGCGGGATTCGAACCCAGGGCCTTCGGTCTCGCGCACGAACGCTCAACCAACTGGACCACTGAGCCGGCATCCAATGGTGATAGTGTCTAACATCAATCCGCGGGCGGGATCGTGGATGCGCACTGTTGAGGAGTTCCACAATAGGGCGAAACGGCCGTCCAGTGCTTCCAGGTTTCCAAAGGTGGTGGTCTAACATCAATTGGTTCATGATCTCAATCAAAAACTAAATATAGTAGTCTATTGACACTGACTTTAATTTATTACAATGAATTTATTCAATGACTGTATGTATTGTAATTTAGATTTACTCAATATAAAGCTTCTTAAATTTTTTAACAATCTTCTAAACAGTCTGATGACATGAATTTTTATGTACCAATAAAAGGAATGATTTTTTGTTTAGTTTAAAAGTTAATTTTACTTTTTTCTTCATCTCAAATCGGAATTGTTACAATTTAAAAATCAATAAAAATTAAAGAAGACAGTAGTAACTCCCAATTTTCTTGTTATTGTTGAGAAGTCTTAAAGTATTCTTTAGGAAAAACTATAGGAACTCAGCAAACACTGAGAAACATTTTATCTAGTCAGCGTTGAATAGAAGCTTTTCATCGATATCTAGAAATTAACGTTACATGTTGCGTTTCTGATTGGGTGATTACCTATCCTGTTACTATATTTAGTTCAGTTCCAGAAACTTCCGGAAGCCCGTGGTCGTATGTAACTCAGTAAATACCCTCGTTTTTTGTGTACATAAACTAAACTTAAAGTAAATATTTCTTTTTGCACATCGCTTCTTTTCTTTTGTGTTATTAAAAGCGACTATTAAGACGGACCAAGCATTTATTTAGCAGACTTTCCAGTTATAGTCTGAGGAGATAATACAAACAGTATACACCACGACTCTAGAACTTTTCACTGTAGGTGTTTTCTTGTGTAAGATAGGTTATCTATTTCATTTAAGGTGAGAAAAATCAACAACAGAATATGAGGTAGTCTAATCAGCTTTCTTTACATTTCTATACTTCATCTTATATCTTACCTAAATTTTGAAGATTTGCTCTAGAAGAAGAGAGAGTTATTTGAAGTGCTTTTGCCCATATTATCAAGTTCTTTCAGTTCGTTATACATTTACATATTTTGTTAATTTAATGGTGGATCCTAATAGCTAGAAAATAGTTGGTTATCAATCAAGGGTATGCCACTTGCTGAAATCCTGTTTGATGTGCTTTGGTTTGACCTTAATTTCACATGCCTTTAAATGTTCTGAAAAATAATTTTAAATTCATTTTATATTTACCTTCTGCTTACTGCTAATTATCAGTTTACAGGTGCCTTATAGAATCACATAATTTCCAAATGTTCAAATTCTCCCTTTTCCGCCCTCGCCTAATACGAGTTAGTGTCGAAAACTTATCCCAAGTGTTTGTACATCACTTCATCTAGTTCGGTTTAGGTATCCAGGATTCACACTTCACACACTATACACAAATTATGCTTTAAATTTACTCTTGTTAATTAATTGATTTCGATAGTTGAATTTATGAATCGATCGAAGATGGACGACCACTAAAAACCTGTAAGCACTAGACGGCCGTTTCGTCATAGTTTGGGACTCCTCAGCATTGTGCATCCACGACATCGCACCTGAGACTCAATTACAAGACTTTCGATCTCGCATTGTTGATGCGCGTTGCTGAAGAGTCCCATACAGTGCTTCTAGGTTTTCAGTGGTGATCTAGCTTAGATCGACTCATGAATTCAACTATTAAAATTACTACAATCTTCACGATTCCATATTTCTGATAGTTAAATAATTATTTAATTGACTAGTTAATGAATTAAATATAATCACCTAATCCAATTTTATTGATTTGATTTTAATTTTTAGATATATTCTGTTGGTTATGATGAATTAAATGTACATTTGCCAAATTCCACATTGAAACGTTTATTTGGTCAATTAACATTAAACCAACATTTTGATTGGCTATTAAATTGTTTTAAACGTACTGGTCATTTTTCACGTATGCCAACTGATTATTTTAAATTGTCACAATTATCATCATTAAGACCATCTGATTCAATTTATTCAGCATTACATAATCCTTTATTAGGCAATGAATTGATTGTTCAACTAGATTTATACAATAATAATTATAATCATGAAAATGTTGATGATAATACTGACAAAATAATTACTACTACTACTGCTACTATTACTAATGGTAGTATTAATAGTAAGGATATTTCTGTGTCTTCTATTCATGGATCATTACGTGTTCCTATGAAAAATCGACGATGTTCAGATGATTTTTTACATACAACTATCATAACATCTTCGTCATCATCAGCTATAACGACAATATCCAGATCATCATTATCTTCCATGGTTCATGGATCAACACAACCACAATATTATAATACAATAAATGGAAGTATTTCACCATTATCACGACTAATAGGGGATACTGTTGGTTTACAAACATCACCATTACCACGTCGTGGAGTATTAACTGATAATCGTATGACTGATTCAATGTTTGAAACATCTATTGGTCATAATAATAAAGACTGTACATCATCATCAACATCATCTATGTTTCATAATGAACGACGTGTATTCTATCGATCTGATCGTCATCTTTCTCATTCCAACTCATTTAGACACAGAACTAATACAATAACAACACTAGCTAATAATATCAGCAGTATTAGTAATGGTTCAATATCTTCCACTCATACATCTTCATCTAAAGATCAATTATATGTTACAAATCCTTTATCGGAAACACGTTTGTCTGTATCAGAATTTATCACTAGAGTGCAAAGTGTTGGTACTATTGGATTAACTTTAGAATTTGATGCATTATTTAAAGATAGTCCTGTGAAAGGTGCTTGTACGCGTTTTGCGTAAGTTGTTTACAATTGTTTATTGTTTGAAAGAAAAATCACTTGTTCATTGATATCTCTGTAGAAGTAGTAATAATAATTGTAGTATTAATGACAAGACTATACTATACCAATGAACTTCAGCAAATTTATGGGTTGCCTCGCGATTAGCCAGTCAGTGATAACCAATACGAATGCAGCTTTCATTTAAGAGCTCTAAAATGTAAAAACCATAGAAATACAAAGGATCAAATGTTTTAAAAACATTAACGAACTTGGTAATGCTAAGTATCAATAATTCAGGCTGAAATCAGGATGGACCCTGATTCTTAGCTCTGCATCTTTTAAAACGTAACTCCTGACTTTGAAACCCCTAAACCCCAACTCCTAACTCTAGAATTCGACCATACCTCCTTACCCTAAAACGTCCTAACCCTAACTCTTAACTATTAAATCTCTAGACTTTGGCTCATAACCATACTACTTCTTAACATTGGTCATCAACACTGATACTTCTAACCATAACCGTGGTTAACACTCCTAATCCAAAAAATCTGACCTTAACAGCTCATTCGACAAGGAAAATATCATCCAATCCTTCCAAAATACGAGATATGGTGAGAATCATGAGCTTTAGTAACAAGCTATTTGGAATAGCGCTTTAAATTTGCTTCTCAGTTTTATTTTGATTGATCGCTCACGGCCTTTGGTCTTACAGTACTACTTATGTGCTTTTTCGTTTCATCAAGTTGCCTCACATTCCCCTTAGTCACTAGTTGAAGCTATGCATGATTTAGTAGGAGAAATATTTAAATTTCAACCAGGAACATATTTTTAGTTTGACATTTCTCAGTCTGTATACACTAATTTACATGGCGTCGAACCCAAGAATTTCACTTTCACGTTTTATCACCATAGTATCGTATGTTTTTTCTCTTGACTGTATATATTAGTTCAAGAGAAACAGTTCGATTCATCAACTGTTCTGTTTCTTTTTATCTGTCTTTCTGATGATTGTTTACATCAGAAATTAACGTTAGATATATATAGTGAATCAAGGTGATACAAAAAAATATTTATTCCATTTGGGTAATTTACAGTTTTTGCGCTCGTCATGTGACCTAAAGATTTTGATAATCTGAATGAAACCAAATGAGGAAAAAAACAAATTTGTATTCATTATATATGTCAAAGAAAAAGAAACTTTGAAACACTTTCAAATGCAATCAGTTATTGTATAATTTTAAAAGTAATTCCCAATGGAAAACAACATTCTCAGGCTTCATGTTAAGTCATGTGTATGTCAAATTGTAAACAGATCATTATGTGAATGTTAGCAATTAGTTAAATTATTCTGTATAAACAAATGAAGTGTTGAACAAATTATTGATGAATAAAGAATTACTTCATTAACATAATATTATAATAAACATTAATTGATTGTACATATTTGTATTTATGCTAGAAATTTAATTGTGTAATTTTTCAGGAATGTTCTACAGTTTTCCACAATTTATTTCGCATTTAAAATTTGAATGAGGCAAAAATAAGAATGGTAATAAAATAATTGATGAGTTCTAGCTAGTTGTTCACAACGTTACTTACCTACTTACTTCCTTAACGTCTGTGACTTCTCATGGAGGAGTATAGGCCACTCACCAGCATTCTCCATCGGATTCTGTCCTGGGCAATCCTTTACAGTTGCTCTTCATCCTTTTCATGTTTGCTTCTGATTCCCGACGTAGTATGTTCTTAAGCCTTTCTCTTTTCCGTTTCCCTTCAGGATTCCAAATTAGCTCTTACCTCGTGATTCAGTTTGATGATTTCCTCGATGTATGTCCTATCCACTTCCAACGTCTTCTCTTAATTTCCTCCTCAACTGGAAGTTGGTTTGTTCTTTCTCACAGTAGGCTGTTACTGATGGTATCCGGCCATCGGATATTAAATATCTTGTGTAGACAATCGTTTTTAAATACTTGTACATTTTCGATGATGGTTGTGGTAGTTCTCCAAGTTTCAGCTCCATACAGTAGGACTGTCTTCACGTTCATATTAGAGATTTTGATTTTGATATTGGTTGACAAACAGTTGTTTCGAGTTCCATATGTTCTTCAACTGTAGAAATGCTGCCCTAACTTTGTCAACCCTCACGTTTGCGTCTGCATAGATGATGCTAACCAGGTATGTGAAAGTTTCCACCAAGTGTGATTGGGTACGGCTGAGAGTGGGGAGAGTCCGCTCTCCCTCTCGAAATACTCTCACATGACCACGCGTATATAGCCTCTGCCAGGGAAGTCCTACTCACTGCCTTCTCGTGGAGGGGGTGTTGTTTACGAAAATGAGAGGACGAAAAGCGAATGTCCGGCGCTTTAACCGGATTTCAAACCAATGGTGCACATGGGCTCCAGTATCCCGCGGGAACAAATGGCGAATGAACCAACTGTTGGTCACCGGCTCCCATGGAACTGCATCTCCTTACGATGCTCCACTGCCTTGTGGATCAGACCTTCAGGTCGAAGGCTCGGGGTGTGGCCCCCTAAGAAAACCACCTGCTTCGGTTTGGGCACCCGGGCAGTATCACAGCCCTCACACATATCGAATGAGATTTGTGTGGCGCATATGTATTTATTGCCTCGTGCTTACCATTATCTATGTGTTGAAATAAATAATAAATAAATAAATTTAAGGATTCTGCTTTCTCCCTTGTGTATGTTGAGGCCTACTGCTGAAGAGGTAGAGGTTTCTGCTACACTGGTTGTCATGACCTGCATTCGTTGATGTCATCTGCGAAGTCCAAATCGTCTAGTTTCAATCAAGCTATCCATTGTGTTCAATGCTTTCCCTCAGATGTAGAGTTCTTCATAATCCAGTTGACCATCAGCAGAAAGAAGAAGGAGGCGAGTATGCAGCCTTGTGTGACTCCGGTCGTCACTTGGGATGCAGCTGTCCTATATGCACCAATTCGCAGTGTAGTCCGTCGTATGAATTACAAATGATGTTGACGATCTTTTCAGTAGCCTCACAGTGTCGAAGAAGGCTCTATAAGGTCCTCATATCCACACTGTCAAACACCTCATAGTCAATGAAGTTGATGTATAATGACTAATTTCATTCGATTGATTGCTCAACAATAATCCGTGGTGTCACGAATCGTTCTGTATACGACCGATCCTTACGAAATCCAGCCTATTGATATTGAAATCGGACGTCCACTGAATCTTTCATCCGGTTCAACAACACTGTTGAAAACTTTTCATGGCATCGATTGTCATGTGACGCTTCTGTAGTTCTCACATTTGCTCAGATCTCCTTTCTTTGGTATCTTGATGAAATATGCTTCTTTCCAGTCTGTCTGTGGTACTTGTTCTTCCTCCCGAATCTCCCTAAATAGAACGTGGAGCATGTTTTCAGTTGCTTGTATTTCTGACTTCAGTGCTTCAGGTAGTATATTGTTAGGTGCCGCTGCTTTTCCACTGTTGATTTTTCTGATGGCCATCCTGATTTCTTCGATCGTTAGTGGGATGATATAGAAAAATATTATCCAATCATTTTAAAAAACAAACATGTACATACCTTTAAACCAGAAAGTGTAACGCAACAATTTTTTGAAACTGAAGTTATCAAGACAAAATTAAATAGATAACTGTGTTTTTTTTGTTTGGATTAAGTAGTAGCAGATTAAGTAGTTTTATCGCTACAACTTCAATAGAGCCTAATTAATGTGAGGTCATTTTGTTTATTGATCAGTTTGAATAATTTAGAAACTTAAACATGAGATGTTCACATTTTAAACAAATAATGAACAATCGCATTACTCTAAATATTATATTTTTCTAGCTTTAAATGTCGTGGAATGTGCTCAGAAATGCAGATACTTAACTGGGTTTTTTTTTCTATTGTTCCAATGTATTTGCTTTGGTCAGTTTATGTAAACTGGTAAACACATTTGAAGATAACATACAACAGTAATTTGTTCACATTTGATTGTCGTAATATTTTACAGTCAATAGTGAATATGTACAATTTGAACCAGATATAAGGGAAAAAAGAAAAGTATTAACAAAAGATGATTAATGCACCATACATTTTAAATTTTTTCACTCCTATTTATTTGATCTTTGCAGTACACACTGCTGGTGAATTTGAAACCAGGCTACTTCATTTTTACCCTGGTATGGTCAAGGGTGAAGAGAGCCCACTCTCCCTGTCGAAATGCTCTCACATGACCACGTGTGTACAACCACTGCCAGGGAAGTCCTACTCACTGTCTTCTCTTAACAGTTGTGTTATTTACGAAATCGAGAGGACGAAAAGCGAATGTCTGACGCTCCAATCGGGTTGATGTACACGGAGGGTCTACCTATAGGATTTGGAAAACCCTGACCCCAAAGCAATGATGCACATAGGCTCCAGTATCCTGAGGGAACAAATGGCGTATGAAACAATCATTGGTCACTGGCTACCATGAGACTGCATCTCCTGACGTTACTCCACTGCCTTGTGAATTAGACCTCTAGATCAAAGGTTTGTTGTATGGCTCCCTAAGAAAACCACCTTCATTTTGGGCATCCGGACAGTATTCCAGCCCTCATACAAATAGAATGATTTGTGTGGCACATATATATTTGATGAATTCTTGTACTAATGTTTATGTGTTTAAATAAATAAAAAATTCATTTAAGGTTAATTTACGATGAAAATTATCTGTAAATTGTTTAAAATTCTTTAAAAAATCACCTTAGTAAATGATACGTCGATCTTGATATATTTCTGTATAATGAAGTAGTCACAGTTCAATCCAAAACTTGTTGATTGCATTCAACTTTTTTTTGTTTTTGTTTTTGGTGTGAAGACTTATTATCTGTAGATGTACTTCCATTCTATTATTGGCATTTACACTAATATTAATACCATTTACTCCAATAGAGATTGATTACATTCAACCTTATCAAAAGCGTGGAACACTTTATTACAAATAACAATATGTGTTTATTATTGTTTGTTTTCAATCGTATCACTCTACTATTTTATACATTAATCAGTAGTAATAACCGTAATATATTGATAGTTATCTCTTAATAATTCCATATTTAACTTAAACCTACAAACATGTGAGTGAATTAGATAAATATTCTAGAAATAGTTTTTTTTTTAAAAAAAGGAAATTGTTTCACCTTGATAATTTGAATTTAGGCAACATAAAAATACTCGTATGTTTTTCTTCTTTTTTATTATTATTATCTAAGCATCACATATCATCATCCATTTGTCCATTTGTTGATATCATCTTACAGTTCATTACATTTTGGTCTAAATTTATTATCAAATATATTTTGTTTATATTCAATCAACCGATAAGATAGTTGGATTAACTATTATTATTATTATTATTATTATTATTATTATTATTATTATTATTATTATTATTATTATTATTATTGGTAGTAGTAGTAGTAGTTGTTGTTGTTGTTGTTGTTGTTGCCGTTGTTGTAGTAGTAGTAGGAGTAGTAGTAAGTAGTAGTACTTGTTATATTATATCATATACTATTGACTTATAAGTGATCAATAGAAAATCATGCATCAAAAAGGTTTTCATTCTAATATTGGCACTTATCAACAAAGTCTATCTGTAATACTAAAGAAACTGATGTTTTCTTTGTGATTTTTGAGACTTGTATATCACAGTCAGATAAAGGTTAATTTTGGTCAAATTGATTAATGGAATTCAAACCATATAGTACACTAGACAACATAATGTTTATTATTAATAATTAGTGTTCTGAACAGGAGTTATCTGGGTAACTAGGAAGTGGTAGTCAAGTGTTCAAGTACCATACTTATCAGGTGGCGGGAAAAAGTTTATTCCTAGGGAGTAAAATATAACAAAATGAAAATATATAATAGAACGGTTACATTTACAGTATTTTCACAAACGTTCATGGTATCATTCAACTTCTATAACTGTCTACATCTCCGCAGTCATCACTGACCCTAAGCAATATTCAGGATATGGCTAAATTTGTGTAATAAACTTGGTCGATGAAGGCTTACAACTTTTTCAATAAAACCCCCTACATTCAACCTCCCTGTTCTTTAATAATAGTTACATCATATTCAAACAATTCTTTGAAAATATCTATGGTCACGCAATTAGAACATCTCATGTCTTCCATTTGTTTTAGTGAATATGAAGTAAGATGACTAGTCTGTTTCTTTGTAATCAACAGTTTGATCGAACTAACTTCTAAAAATACTTATTTTGAAGAAAAAAAATAAGCTGATGTGATAGACAATGTTTTCTAATGGTTAACTTTCATCAACTTAACATCTGTGCTTCATATTCAATGTAAACTTTTCAATTTCTCATCATCCAATAATATGTTTGTTTAAAACAACTGTCACCGTCTAATTGGTTATGAATTAACCCTTTATGACTTGTAATAAAAATATTCTTGCTTAATTAATAGGTGATATGCACCAATCGATCGATTCAAAGTTTGCAGTGATACAATGTGTGACCAAATGATGGTTGCTCATGGGACTAAATTATCCTTCAGTTTGGTGGTTTTGTCTTCTGATATCAATTCAGTTTAGATTGAGGAGTAATTTAGGTCAATAAGTTTTTCTTCTAACAAAACAACATGCTTATATAAAAGAAATAAATAAAAGTCATCTAACAGATAAACGATTAAATCATATGAAGACTAGTTAGATCATTCAATCTGTGATTTTCTTTAATACCTTTATTGTTAAACTTAATTCCTGATCAGTTATTATGATAAATAAAAAGAAATTAACGTAGATCTGTTTCTTTTTCTCGTCGTTTTTTCTAAAAGCCTAATATTTTCATGTTCAATATGTTTTCATTTCTTTGTTAATGATTTCAACAACAAAAACAAGTGCACCACTATCATATCGTCGATGAATAAGTACACTTATATCAAAATGTTAGATTTAAAATGTAATTCTGACTGAAGCTGATTAATTCATCAGTGTTTATTTATGTTTTATCCATTATGACTGTATTTTCTTTTTCTTTTTTTTAAATTTTTTTATGTTTATGTATATAGTCAAGCATCAAATAAACGTCGTAACCGTTATCTAGATGTTCCTTGTTTAGATTCAACTGCTGTAGAACTATCAGACAATACTTATATACATGCAAATTGGGTTGATGGTTATCAATGTCCACGTGCATATATATTAGCTCAAGGTAATTTTTTTCTATTTGTTTTTATTGTTTAACTTTATAAGCGATAAACATTAACTACCATCGAATATGGATAATGGCTAGCAGTGGAATCCAGAATGTACGTTTCGTCCTATTTGGGACTCATTAGCTAGATGTATCTGTATCTCAGAGTTGATGTTCACCCTGGGACTCGAACCCAGTATCATTCGCTTCAATCGCCAGTCATAAACCTCAATGGGAAGATTCAAGCAAAACAATACTAAGTGAATTTATATTCACCTCATTGCACAAGCAAGTAGCTACCAGGACTCAGTAGCTAAGTGTTTAACGCGATGGCGCTTGAAGCGAATGGTACTGGGTTCGAATCCAAGAGTGAACATCAACTACCATCAATTTCATAATTGTTCAGATTGATACATTTCAGATTATTTCTTTTTAAATTATTTGAAAATTTAATTATAAAGAGTGTTATTTGCAAACAATATTCAATGAAGATTTACTTTCTGAATTAAAGATTCGTTGATTGAAAAATGAATTGTGCCAGATTGAATTAATGTTAGTTAGTTTGTGGTGAAATTTACTTTGAAAATTATAAAAAGACTATTTATGACATGCTAAATAATTTATTAATACCTAAAACTGAGAAAATAACAATTGTGTATTCATTTATTGCCTAACCTTATAATGGTATTTCATAGATCAATCAAGGTAAAAGTGATGCAAATCATCACCTACCAATGATTTTAGCTTGCATATTAACTAATTTTAAATCAAGACTTGTTTATTGAATTCTGACTCATGTATGCACTAATGTACTAGGTGAGAGTTGAAAGTATCAGCCTTCATCTAATGTGTGTGTGCGGTTGGGGTCAGGTCTTCAAAATTATAGATTATACAATTGTTTCTGTAGAATTGAAAGTATTCTGAGGTATAGAAATTGTCACAATAGGGTAAAACAATACGAGAAGTGTAGTTTCAAATGATTTATATGAAAGGAGGAATATCAATTCTTGAATGTAAACGATACTAGTAATACTTTCATCATAAGTACAGTGTGGAAATCATTATTTCACTCAAGATACTTGATATGAATACAGATTAGGACGTATCCGTTTTTTATCAATAATTTCTTTCATTAGAATCAATCTAGTTTTTCGACTTGGTCAGATACAAATGTTAAACCGTAATGAATTTAATTTTGTTAACCGTAAATATTTAGTTGATTGAAATTAGTCGTCCGAAATCTTTGAATCTAATTTCTGCTCCATTTGGTAATCACTCATCAACAAGATATATTTGAAATCCTGAAGAGACTTATCAGTAAAATTCGACCAGAGCTAAACACTAGACAAATACGTTCTTGCTTATTATTCGATGATCAGCTAAACTTAAGGTTTTTTTATTTAAAATCGACTACAATATAATCTTACTTATTACATTATTAAGTACAGGAAAACAAACACAACCACCACATGTCTTATAGGTTGATGGATTTCATCATGAATTCAATAATATTTGTAAAGATAGTGTAGAATAACACTGAAAATCAGTTTGCATTATGTTGGGGAGATCCAGAAAACTCCTCGAAAAAAAAAGCCAAGAAAATCTCTGAAAATACTGAAAAGCATCTTATCCAATCAGCGTTCACTAAAAGTTTTGCCAGAAACGTCCAGAAAGTGAAAAGTTACATGTCGAGTTTCTGATTGGATGATTATTTATGGTGCTACTATGTTTAGTAGCACCCCAGGATTTTCGGGAAACCCAAGGACATCTAAAATACTATAAAAATCCTAGATTTTCTGTACATAAACGAACCTTTGGAGTATAGCGTTTTCTACCATATTTCACGC